AATTGTCACTCAAAGAGGAAAGCCTCACTTGTGCGAAGCGAATTTGCTCATCATCGCAACCCAACTCCGCAAGCATGTAATGAGCAAAAAGAAGGGGAGTTGGAAAACACAATCCATTTTTCATTTCGTGGACTATACGTTTTTCAATATCACACAGACGTGCTTTGTCTGCGGTGGCATCACATAATCCATCCACATTACCTGGTCGAAGAGAATCGTACTCCTCCATTTTTCTGAAAAAAAATTTTGTTACCGATCAAATACTACAAATGCAGAGAAAATTATTAGAACACTGTCGGGAAATGCTTACGTTCCAAGTACCATCGAAACCGCGCAGACATCCGCCAGAGTGTTTTTTGCAATATAAAAAGAATCCAAGCACTTATCCAGTATATAAACACCAAGATGAATTGCCTCCTGTAAAAAGCGAAAGTAAGTGACACGTTTGTGTCCTGAACATAAAAGACTTAGTGAAATGCCTTCAGCAATCAACCATAAGAATCAATGGTAGGAATCAATACATTTTGACGCAGAAGCGGAAAGTCAAGGACAGAAACTTTGAAGGTTACAAACATGTATTGAAAGCGGCAGTTACTCAAATATCTTTATTCATTTGCTGGAGTTTATTTGCTGGAGGTGACATTATTGGTGAGCAGGGTATGACAACTGGTAATGTAAGTGAGAGAAGACGGCTGCACCACGTGGAAGTAGAAACCGAGTGACGACGGGTTCGCCGAGAGGGCTATTCCACCAGACACGTCAGGAACCATCTTTGAAGGGTTAAACCTTCAAAACCAACTTTCCTACTAAGCTCGACCCTTTTTTGGAATGCACCTTGCATCCCACTTCTAATCCGAATTGTAGCGGAAGGTTTAGAGGAACGCCCGTGTTCAAACTTAGTGACTCCCCTCACTCAAGTGCTAATGACAAAAAAAATTTACAAAAAAAAACGGAGAAAAAAAGGTGGAAAAACGCCCGAAATATCCATGTAGGACCCCATGCTGAACCAGGTACCTCTTCACTATCGCCATTCGAAATGGAGAGTTTGTAGCGGAACAAACGCACCATCAGGTAGCAGTCAGAAGTGAAAGTTGGGCGCTGAGGTGTCCAGTGGGCGGAGCGGTGGCTTCGTCGTGAGCGGATCTCCCTTTTTCACGTGATTTTGAGCAGCGAAGGTGGTGCATCTTCCATTCTTGCAGACAGTACCACCTCGTCTGAAGAAGGCGCCTGAGCACCAGATGAAGGCGGAGCGTGCCTGTAATGCTATATGTGAGGCTAGTTGAGGCACAGATAAGCGCCTCCGGCCTCCCAGACGAGTCTGACGTTAATATGCCTGCTGCGCAGGGATCTTGAGCTGGTCCAAGATAGGAGAACAGCGATTTGACCTCGAGACCGCGTGCACGTTATGCACACTTGTCACGACATCAAGTAAAACCCTTCAGAGTTATTACTCCAATATAATAAAAGTGCAGTATTATTGATCAGTATCGAGGAAATTCTGCAACTTTTGATAGTTGTGAGAAATAGCCAAGCCTGAGCCGAGCAAAATAATAAAGGATAAAGGATAAAGTCTTCGCCATCATCAATCCCTTTGTGGGATGCGGCACGCATTCTACTTCCATTCAGAATCGTAGTGGCTTATTGAATGCGATGTGGCCTATACAATGACTTGCGGGGCCAGCCGATGTACAAGTCAGTGTTTTATCCTCCCAGACGAATCTGGTACCAATTTACCGTCCCCGGAGGGTAGAAGGCTTGGTTGGCCTGGGCGGGAGTCGACCCGGGATTCGAACCCGGGACCGCGCGAGTGGTAAGCGCGCCACTTGTCACTACACCACCTCCGCCTCAAGCAGCAATCATCTAAATAGCAGGATCTTTGAAAGTGCAGTCTGACAGCACTTTCACTTACAGCCTGTTAGCCAGCGTTCAGACTTCGCGACGGCAGCGCTTCGGTCACGCGATTCGACGATCGATGCGCATGCTTTCAACTGCATCGATCGCGTCGAATGCGCGACCCTGCCGTCGCGAAGTCTGAACGCTGCCTTAGCTTTTTCACTTACCAGAGTGTGTTTCCGCTTCTTCATGTCTACCAAAGCTCTCATTACAACATCCCGACGATCCGCCCATGATGCGCCTTCCTTTCTTCTGCGCATCCATAAATAACGTGCCTAAGGCATGCGTACTTTCCTCGCGGTAACTTAACCATGCATAAGTCTGAAGAGATCTCTTTACAGAAATGTTGCATCAGCAGCTTTGATTCATACCTTAGCACATGAATCAGCATAAACACACATCTTGAAAAAGAAAAACTCACATCTCTTGCAAATTCATTGTGATACCTTTCCACATTCAATAACAGAGGTTCTTTTGCAAACGGTCGCTCGCCTACTAATAGCACAAGTAAACTATAGATCAATGAATTTTATTTCACTACGGCTGCGTTCAGACTTTGCATCTGCTCTTTGAGCGTACGTCAGCGTTTCGAGCGTTTCCAGCCACAAGAAATATAGATATCGATCTAGCGTTTTGGGCGTACGCCAGCGATTTCAGCGACTGCTCGCCGCAAACTTCAAAACTACCTGCGAAACGTTCAAAACGTGGATGTAGGCTCTCTTACACTCAAACGCTGTCGTACGCTCAATACGCCGACGTAAAGTATGAGCGTGGCGTAAGAACAAGAACAATCACCTCCGCATTACAACTGTAACAGCAGCTACAGCAATCAAATAGTCCTCACCAAAATAAAGTTCTAAAGAAGACTTTCACACTCACTTGAAACATCTCTCGCACAACTGGAACCAAAACGACCTCGCTTCGCTACTGGGCTACATGAGCTTGAGACGCTGGAGGCTACCCCAGGCTAGAATAAAACCAGGATCGGCACTCATAAATACAAAAAAAACTCAAAATTTTAAACTCCACTAGAAGACGGGAAAAACAGGCAACCATAGGGATGCAACACGAGAAAAAGGAATAGAAGAAGAAAAAGGAAGGAATCAAATGCAACCATTATTTATGGGCTGGGACATCTACACGCTGGCAACTAAGACAAACTGATGAGCATGGTGACAAAACGAGGAGTAATGGCACTGAAAATGAGGGGAATGAAGAGCACAAGTTATGTATGGAGATCGACAAAGGGCGACAGAACAGGAACCAGAAGGTGAAAGCGTAAAGTCGGTATCAAAGGAAAACTAAACGGTCCGAAGCTTGGTTTCAAAGGTTTTCGTGAGTTCATACTTTGCGTCAGAGTGAGCATACGCCACTGTTTCACTGAACGAAATAATGAATGAAAGATGACGTACGCTCGAAACAATGGTGTCTACCCTTATACCTTTCTAGCCGCTCATAGGCGCAAAGCATGAAGGCACTACTACGAGAGAAATCCGGATATAGAAGCAGATGCGAAAAACAGAACACATAACAAGGATGAAAAGACATGAGCTCACTGATGAAGGTGAATTTTCAGGGTTACCGCCACAAATCTGTCGCTTGACTACCACATCGTCACCAGCCGGATGAACCTCGCTCGACAACGACAGATTTCCAATATCATCGTCTTGTCTGGAAAGTGTAAGAGCTAAAAACGTGGTGAGACGGCTGCTACAAAAAATCAGCTTCCAACTCATGTTGGTGGTGTGGTTCTTCCTACACCAGCACGAATGGTTTAAATATGAAGTAGCCGCTATATGTAAACTTTCAACCCCTCCTTTTCTCTGGAGAGAAAGCCATTTATCGTTCTGGTACCTAAGTGAAGCAGCGATCCAGCGAAGGCCGCGTTCATAGCTTGCGTTCGTGAAGAAATGCAGAAATGCGGAAAATGCAGAAGTGCGGAAAGTGCAGAAGTGCGGAATCTGCAGAAAAGCATTACATACGTATCGATTTGAAGAAATGCAGAAATGCCGAAAGTGAAGAAGTGCGGAATCTGCAGAAATGCCGAAAGTGAAGAAGTGCGGAATCTGCAGAAATGCCGAAAGTGTGGAAAATCGATACGTATCGGTTGCTTTTCTGCACATTCCGCACTTTCGGCATTTCTGCACTTTCCGCACTTCTGCAGTTTCGGCATTTCTGCATTTCTTCAAGTCGATAAGTATCTATTGCTTTTCTGCAGATTCCGCACTTCTGCACTTTCCGCACTTCTGCATTTTCCGCATTTCTGCATTTCTTCACGAACGCAAGCTATGAACGCGGCCTAAGACCGTTGAACGCAAATCCAAAATCTTACGGCCGAGACTAAATCGTAATGCCCACCTTCTGGGACCGCGCTCGGACTTCGTGATCGCGCGATTGAATTGTATGACCACGACAGGGGACACTCCACCGCCAAACTTTACACCACGGCGATGGCATAATTCAAATTGGCACTGCGATCCAATCAAGCGATCCAATCGCGCGACACAACCGAGCGATCCGATCGCGCGATTGAGAAGTATGAAGGCGCTCTAGAAATCTCACTCACTTGTAAGCTGCAACAGCACTCTGTGATGGATCTTCTTCCGACAAATTCGCAATGGTACTATTGCCGTATTGTGAAAAGAAGCCTACAATCAATCCCTAAATGGATGAGGCAATTTTGATATGGGAACGTATGTAACTAACCACTAGCATGATCGCTACTGTCTTGCGAATAACATGCACCTTCTCTGGCTTTTGGTGAAGCTTCCTCCGATGAATTAGAGGAGTTGCCTTCACTTTGTGAGAAGAAGTCTGTGAGAAACACCAATGTTATTACCAAACAAAATAATTGTAGGATCATTGAAATAAAGAAACCTCACCACTAACAGCACCATCACTGTTTTGTGAACAAGGAAATTGCTTAGTGCAGATGTAGGGCTCCTCGTCAGAATCTGCATAAGCCGCTGGAGGTAGAGGGAGATCAGGAGAGCCCTCTAAGGGGCTCTCAGATGATGGGAAGCAATACTCTGGTATGCAGGTGAAAGGCTTCACAGATTCCGCTTCAGAAGAACTGTTACTGCTCAGCACGGAGCTGTTCACGGATGAAGCTGCACCGCGCCCTTAAAATGCCGAAATGGCATAATCGTATCAAAAATCACGAATAATTTGGTAGTCCGGGTTCAGCTTACGTAGAAGCGATGGGGTTGACATCACAGGGCTCACAGTCGCTGAATTCATACCAGAGTGGAATAGCCACCCAGCAGTCGACCTTGCACTTTTCAACCCATCCCTTGTTTCACTGTACCATTGCATTTTAGACGCCTGACATATCTGGAAGCATATAGACATCCCAAGACAAATTACTCTCATCGTACTAACGATGACTTCGTACCTGTGAATCTTCAGCGACCGAACATGCAATACAAGGTGGTGTATAATCACAGGGACCCAGCGGTGAAGATGTGAACAAATGTGGCTGTAATCAAGGTTAACTTGAGTAAAGGAGAAAAGCAAGCCTACCATACGATGAAAAACATATCCCTTCTGAACATTCTGTAGCATCGCTCCAAACCTTTTGTGATAACACAATAGCTTCGCCAACTACGCCGCGTTAGCTTACCCAGTCATACATTTTTAAATTTATCGCGAGGTGATCAACTGATCAGCAGGTCCCGATCGTAACAGGGATCACCATGATGCCGCGCTTCTACCTTGCGACTCTGGAGTATAGGAGAAACAAGCTGAAAGGGTGAAAGGAAAGTTCAGGAGACCTGCCGTTTCTCGAGATTTCGCGCGATTGCGTGTTTTCGAAGAACGCGTTGAAAAGGCAGGGATACGGTCAAGACAATCGTAAATTGCCGCCCTGTCGCGCGCGGCGATGGGCTGGGGGTTTTCTTTATTATGGTTTTTTGAATGAGGGACCGGGTTTCATGTAGACTACAATACCATAAACTTATGGATAATATTGGATATACATATTGCCTATTGCAGCTATCTACGACCTAAAAATATCGTCAGCCCACCAGTGCGGCGACTTACTGTTGTGCTATCACACATCCAGGGATATGTACCGACCGTTCCCAACTGGACCGTAGCTGAGTAGGTGGTGTGAGTCTCAGGGCGCGTCCTGCTGTTGGTGGAATTTTTACGACATAAAGACCTCCATTAAAGTTAACCCCATCCTTTGAAAGATGGTACAACACACCTGAAACAGGAAAGAACGAGAAAAATCAACAACCGAGAACATTTTCCTCAAAAGCAAGTGCGATCCCCTCCCTTCGGCGAACGAATACCATTCCCTCGCTAGGATTCCCCAACGTATGACAACTGATGAACGTATGAGCCACTCACTGGTTCCCAGCCTAGACTCGCCTCGGTCCAGTCATGCAGAACCGAAATAGCGCTACCGCGTGAGGTGCCCCGCTTAGTAAATGGGAGCTGCGCGGCGGTGCGACGGTCCTCCATTCGGCGCTTCTTGGTCGAGGCTGCGCAGCTTTCTGAGCTCTCCTAAGCTTAAGGTGAATGTCATTGATCCACATGCATAAGATGCTCTGGTATATTTGACTAGCGCTCAAAAGCAGCATGACTGTTCAGAGTGACTGTTTGAGAAATCCTCCACATTGCTGAGACGCAATAGACGCGGCAGCATATTTTCTTTGAAGGATAGATCATTGGAAGGATATCAAATTAAGACAATTGTTATCCTGTACTGCATCGGACAAATACATGATCACAACTGATTACAATGTAAATGTCTAACCACTTTCTTTACCGCGTTCAAATGAAAAACGCAGTCACGCCTATCGCATCTCAGGGATTCGGTCTATGCTTGAAAATTACCGAGCAGTCCGCGAGAAGAGCACAGTTCGAGTTTGGACGGTAGGGGTAACACTGAGATCCGACGCGCACATTGCTATTCTCTCGAGTTGCACGATTGCCACGACAACATTGATGTACTGGATAGTCGTAGATGGATCTGTCTAGAATTGAAAAGAACTCTTGAAAAAACACTTCAGAAATGCGGACTCACTCACGGACAAGTCTGCTAAATGGACTGAATTTGAAGGGAAACTTGTACAAAACTGGTATCACCGCCATTACGCAAAACCTCTTGCATGAAGTAATTCGTTCACACATCACGTGATTGGCTATTCACAGCCGCAGATTCCCTCTCCGGAATTAGGCAAAAGTCGGAATTACCTCCAAGGCAATCCCAGTTCTGCATACTCCTTTGAATCACCCTGATCCTTTACCGCAACTTGCGCTCTTATTTACATTGAAAACCAGTAGGGAAACCAATACAAAAAAAAACATGTGAACCTTGAGCAATGTGATGATCGCTGCCATCTTCTAACGAGTGTCCACTCACAATGCTATAGCGTGGATTTCCAAAGATTTTCGAAGAAGTGAGGGTTCCATTTGGGGAGAAAAATGGATCCGGTAGCGATTCTTGATCCGAAGAAATGTTCTATAACGCAAAAATCAAGCTCAGTTTAGACAGTATCAAATTCCCCTGTCCATTTCATCCCTTATGAAGCCCACAGATATTGGCTCTAGCGGTAACTTTGAGATACGCAGCTTCCACTTGAATACTAAGTTTTATGCTCGCAAGGTACCATAATATTCAAACAGCATAGACTAAACCTAGACCTACCAGTTGGGTGGGTGGTACGATAACGGGAGGCGGACGAGTAATCACTGGACGGTGTGAATTCAAACTTGTTGTGTGTTTCAGTCCTGCCATCTTAGTTCGACAAGAGGACAACTTCGTGAAGATGGCGGCTCTGTAAAGAAATTATGGAGCAAGTGCGGTATACTGTACATTTAGTGTACTAGATCGTCGGATTACGGTATTCACAATTTTGTACGAGAAACGATTGTGAGCAAGAAGACGGAAGTTCTCGCCTGAACTCAGAGGAATGACTCCGGGTCGAGTGGAACCGCTCCTTCCCCTATGCTTAGCTCGAAAGCTTCTCCTAACCATTACCAACAAAAAAAATTGTGCGCAGAGATTTTTTTTGACATGCCTGGACCAACATGCACCCATATATGTATTGCACTAGTGCGGAAACCACGAAGCATACATTGAACAATTTTCGCAGTAAAAATGCACTGAAGCAATGGGATCTCTATGTTAACAATGGGATTTAGTGAATGTGCGAGCTTCCTGCGACTTAACTCACGTGAATGGTATCAGAAAACGATCAAAACTGTTTCTCAACCAAAAGACTGAGTTTGCTCTAGCAATAGACTAGCTAGTTCCTAAACCGTGGTCGCAGTATTGCTAGGAATGGATGTTACCGACCAACAAAAAACGGGGTGCTAGAATGGGGTGAGGATCCTGGAGCAAGAGCAATCGCTCGAGGGCGAAACTACAGGATAGGATAGGAGGATAGATAAAACAAACTCGATAAATTTCCTGGAAACTATTCTATACCCTAAAAACGAGAGTCGGCGTGGGGAGATCACAACAGTTGGGATTCCTGTGTAAGAAAAGTGCGAGCGAACTCAGGATAAAAACAAAATAAATCTTGAAACAAGTGGGAGTCGAAATAAACAAAACCATAAGCGGAAAATAGAAACCTGAACGAAGAACGATTCAAGACAGGAAAAACAACGAATCAGGCACCATTTCTGAAAAGAAGACAACAAACAACGCTCGCGTACCATGAAAGACGACACCAGACGGCTGAATTTAGACGGCTGCACCTTGGCTCGCACTTCATAATTACGATCCCTACGTGTCTTTTTTATGAATTTAACTAATCACACTAAGGCCGCGTTCATAGCTTGCGACCGTGAAGAAATGCAGAAATGCGGAAACTGCAGAAGTGCGGAAAGTGCAGAAATGACGAAAAGCAATATATACGTATCGATTTGAAGAAATGCAGAAATGCCGAAACTGCAGAAGTGCGGAAATCTGCAGAAATGACGAAAAAGCATTACATACGTATCGATTTGAAGAAATGCAGAAATGCCGAATTGCGGAAAATCGATACGTATCGGTTGCTTTTCGTCATTTCTGCAGATTCCGCATTTCTTCATTTCTGCATTTCTTCATGGTCGCAAGCTATGAACGCGGCCTAAGCACACCTTCCAGCAATCTGGAGAGGCTTTAGATTCCATTCAGGTTCCATTGGGTTTGGGTTCCATTTTCGCTGATTAAGTGACCTGTGGTTAGTATGAGTATGGCTTTCACACCAGAGACAGGACGCTAAAGTGAGGACCTCCTGAATTCGGTATCAAAAGAAAATAAATTGCAGGCTGCAAGTTAGCTCACGTTCTATCTTGCGACATCAGAGAACCGCGGAAATGATAGAACGAAGAAGCCGCGAAAAGAAAAATGTACGTATCGATCAGGAGAATCGGAAATCTCGAGAATCAGGATTCAGAAAAGGCGATAAAAAGATTCGATCGTATCGAACAACTCCGTCCAAGTATAGGATCGACGAATCGAAGATTAAGGGAATAGCAGGTGAACCAATACAAACCTAATCCCTTCCGGACATTCTTCGATTCGTCAATACTTTACCTCTCTTTTTATATGGACACCTGTACTTTCCTTTTGGCGTATTCTACCACTATAAACTCTGTAAACGTCAGCACAGTCCAGATGATGGCTGCAGAAAGATGAACATTAATTTATTACTATCTAAAAATAGTAACTTTCTGGGGCATTCATTTGCACTGTGGCGACAGCGCGCACGGAAAGTTCTTGAACACAGCAAAACTTTAATTTTTGTACATTTCATCATTCTAATGCCCTGTAAAGCATTTATTATGCGAAGTAGATCACTCACATATACAAGAACCCACAAAAAAAAACTGGAAGGCCGAAGTGCACTAAATGCACATCTTATACGCCAGATATATATTAGGATATACATAATTTCCTCGCCGAAACCTTGCCATAAGCAATCATTCGGTATCGCTTCTCTCCCTTTCTGGCATCAGCTTCGTTCCCTCGACAATGAGTGATTCTTTTGGAGCGTGACGCCTTAGGGAACTCGTACAGCTCAGGACAGTCGAGTTGAACCATCGCGCACAAGTGACAGATTACGTAGGTAGTTGGTACGCTAGCACTGCCACTCTGAATCGACTGGGTCCTGTTGCGAATGGCGCAGACTGTCGCACCCGGAAAAAATGCCGGACGAGTTTTACGGGCGCAAGTCGTCCACTTCGTTGTGGGACCACGCGTCCCTTTAACTTCATTTGAATTAGGATACTTCAATAAGAGCGGTTTTTTTGCAAGATTATCGCTTTTGTGCGTAATCACAGTTAATATTTTCGAGATCTGCTTCTGCTTCGATTAGGAAAACATGAAACCTGAGGTGCAACCGGAAACTTGAGCACTTCAACTGCATCTTTTGTTTTTAGGGACTACATCCCGTCGCCTGCCACCATTTTTAGATATAGGTTTTTAGTTATAAGTGCTGTTCGTTAGATGTCCGGCGGGCGAAAATTTCCGTTTGACATGTGGTTTGGAGACACTTTTGACTCGCTCAGTTTTAGAGGGCTCTCAAGGGAAAGAACTGTTGAGTTCAGGAGAACAAATCTCTGTTAGATCTAGATTCATACTGCAATTCTTCACAAGCCGCAATGGAAACGATTCCAGCAAAAATACAACCACACTGTTTTGAATGCAGCTGGAATGGAGAAGAGGACTGCTGCATTTAAGCGTGAATTAATCCCTCAGGATCACTGTCTGATCAACAGATGTTTGTGCTTCGAATCAACCGCAGTATAGTGTAGTCCACAACATAAAAACGCTCTTACTGTGTTCTCCCATCCCCTTCTGCAGGTGAACGAGAGCAGCCCGAGTACATACATGACTGCTGGAGCCATTCTTACTCATGCGGAAGCTCCGGAACCCAATCACAGCCAAAAGCAGTATGCACAGCAAAGCACGAAACCGGTAACTCAGTATCCACTTTCATCAGCCTTTCGAAGCAGAAGCAGATCTCGAAAATATTAACTATGATTACGCACAAAAGCGATAATCTCGCAAAAAAACCGCTCTTATTGAAGTATCCTAATTCAAATGAAGTTAAAGGGACGCGTGGTCCCACAACGAAGTGGACGACTTGCGCCCGTAAAACTCGTCCGGCATTTTTTCCGGTGTGGCTTAGGCGACAGTATGGAACAGGACATGTGATGTGCAGAACGTTAACGCACTTAGCAAAAGTTGTGGAACGACACGACAAAACTTAAACGAACACACTACTCCTGGTCATTTTTGTTATGCCCTCCCATGCCAGTCCTTATGGTATTATATGGCTTGATTCTGGAACATCTTCATCAGATTAAGCTCAGATTAAATAGGCAAGAATATAATATAAAAATAAATATGCGAAAAACTGCACACTTGTACAAATGCGCATTACTTCGAGTTGCCCAAATGTAAAATCAAGCGGTACTGTGTAAAATGGAAGAAAACTGGAGACGAACTGTGTGCCATGCTTTCTTGTGCTGACGCTCCGTCATCAATCAATCTATCGATTGATTCCTCGTGATCTTGAAACGTCATTGAACTGACTCGCTGAACATGTCTCAACTAGTTTGGTTCAGTTCAGTCTCAGTGAGCATCAATAATTGAATCATTTGAGGGATCCTCATCGAGGTGGGGAGGGGGCGTGTTTGAGTCACTGAAGAGGGGTCGCCCTTGATTTAGAGGGGCTTGTATTCACGTCGGCGATAATGGCATGTTGTTCTGTTTTTGAAGGATACGTTATAATGCTAGGAGGGCTAGCTTAGAATTCAGAAGTTGTTGAAGTTTCGTCGGTTCCGATTACTTTCATCACGAACCAGAAATATTGGCGAAGTTGTTCCCGTGACGCATGCGGAAGCAGGGAGTAAACGGTCATTTTTGCCTGAGACTATAAATGGACTAGATTTACACGTTCTGTTGTCAAAAGTTGCAGCTAGTAAAATAACTAACTGCTTGTAATGTATCAGCTTCACATCCTCAAAAAAAACTCTTTCACCTCAGAAAAACGGGAGACGGTAAAGAGGATCGTAATTTGCCGCACCGCCATAATTGCCGCACCTTCATAATTTGCTTAGCAAATGGATCAATTCGAGTCGTCCATTTGTGGGCGGGCGGGCGTTTGGGTCGGAATGTTGTGGCTTGATAGGGCCCTTATAAGGGCACCTCCCTTGGAAAAGGCATTATGCAGCGCCTGCTCAGGGTCGCGGAATTCCGTCCTGGCGTATTAGTCCTACTCGTCTTGGAGGATTTATCGTGCCAACTGCCTTTAACTATCTTAATGGGCTCTGTTCTGTTTGTAACTTCAAGCATGCATAGTTGATGAGGTGCTCGTCAATTAGGCCTCGGATTCTGGATGGGACGACGATATGGGACCTTGTAGATCGGCTCCTTCTTGCGGAAGATTTTTCGCATTTTTCAGCTTTCTATTCATCCGCGTTCCTGTGTGTCTAGCAATGGAAGTAAGCCAATTATAT